TCGTGCTTGTAATCACAGCACTTTGGGATATTGAGGCAGGCGGATCACTTGAGCCCAGGAGTTCAAGACCAGCCTGGGCAATATGATGAAACCCTGTTTCTACTAAAAATACACATACAAAAAAATTAGCCAGGCGTGGTGGCATGCGCCTGTAATCCCAGCTACTCAGGAGGGTGAGGCACAAGATGACTTGAACCCGGGAGGCAGAGCTGAGATTGTGCCACTGCACTCCAGGCTGAACAACAGAGTGAGACCCTGTCTCAGAAAAAAAAAAAAGTATACATACTGCATAACTTATGTAATAATCATGAAATAATTATAGAAATACAGAATAGATTAGTGATTTCCAGGAGTTCCAGATGGGTGGGGTATGTGTCTACAAAGGTGTAACGCTAGGAGTCTTGTGATATTAATAGTTCAGTTGGGTTTCTTGATTGTGGTAGTGGTTATGCAGGGCTACCTGTGATAAAACTGTGTGCACACACACACACACACACACGGAATGCACGTATGACTGGTGAAATCTGAATAAACTCTATGGATTGTACCAATTCCCTTTTCTTGATTTTGACATTGTATCATGGTTGTATAAAATGTTAGCATCATAGTAGTCTGGGAGAAGGATCAAGAGAGAGAAGGGTGTACATTTCTTTGCAACCTCTGTGAATCTACAATTTATTTCAAAATAGTTAAAATGAAACCAGGATTTATGAAATAAAAACATCTATTTAAAATAAAACTATAAAGCATTACATTTGGGGACTGGTCATTTTTTTAAGAGACAGGGTTCTCTGTCCCCCGAGCTGGAGTGCAGGGGTCCAATCATAGCTTACTGTAGCCTCAAACTGATCCTCCCACTTCAGCCTCCCAAGTAGTGAGGACTGCAGCTACAGGTGTGGGCCACCGCTTCTGGCTATTTTTTTTTTTTTTTTACAGATAGGATCTTGCTATGTTTCCCAGACTGATCTTGATCTCCTTGGCTCAAGTGATCCTCCATCTTAGCCTCCCAAAGCACTGGGATTATAAGCATGAGCCACTGTGCCAAGCAAATTTTTAAATAACTCTAGCTGTAATTGTTAAATGACACAATGCTAAAATAGATAATGAAAAAGGCTGTTTAAAGTCTAAATTTTCTAAAGCAGGATATAAAAATAGTATATTTGGTGGGACCTCAATTTCATTCTAAAAATATGTTACTTGTCTATATTATTATATATATAAATATACACACTACACATATTCTTATACATACATATATATGTATATGGGTGTGTGTGTGTATAATGACATATATCATGACATTAACAGTGACCTCTCTGGATAGTACGATTACAGGTTTATCAGAGACAACTGCTCCCAAAGCTACTCTCCCCTCCTACAGTAAGTAATAGAGTTTTTGCTGAGCAAGTAGCCTCCCAGAATAAAGACTACATTTCCCAGTCTCCTTCACAGGTAGATGTGTCACGTGACTATGTTCTTACCAATGGAAAGGTATGGAAGTATAAATATTTTGTTGCTGCTTCTGAGAACCTTCCCTAGGAGATAGCTGGGATGAGTCCTTGGCCTCTTTATCCCTTTCTCTTTCTTGCTGCATTTCTGCTTTGCCAGCTTAGATGATGAGGATATAGGTCATACTGTAGGGATGAGAAAGGAGTGAGCTAGAAGGAGCCTGGGCACTCTAGGTCTCTGAGGAGTGAAGCTCTCATACCAGCCTGGGATATTTACATTTGGGCTTCATACAGCTGAGAGCTAAATAAACTTCGGTCTTGTTTAACTTCCACAGTTATCTTGGAGTTTCCATCACTTTCAGTCACACCCAACCCTAATAAAATGCAAGAATGATTTTTATTTTTATTTGTGTACTGTTCTGTATTTTCCAAAATTTCTACAATCAACATATGCCATTCATAATGATAAAAGTTATTTTTAAGAAACATAAGAAATCTATCAGTCCCTTTCTTTCAGCCAGAAATATGATTATGTTGATCAAATCTTCCAGATTTTCCAGAAAAGTCCCAATTCCAGACATGATGGCTGATCGCATAATTATCAAATAACGGTTTCCTGGACTTAATTTGGAGAATACGGTGATTATGATGATAATTCTCAACTGGGGCCGGGGAGGCTTACTAAAATGTTTGTGACTTTATCCTCCTGTTCTAAAGAATCTGCTTTAGGCCATAGGATCACTTCCTTTTCCTGAAGGGCTTTGACTCAGCACTTGGGCATGTGAATGTGCTACTGTTTTTATCCTTCTCTGATTGTTTTGGTGGATAAGTCATGTCTCTGTGCAACCTGAGAACAAGTGCTATTGTAGTAGACACCTGTTGTTTTTGTCTACCCTGCACAAGCTTTCCGTTGGGAACTGCCCTTCCTCATCTCATGTGATTTGGTTGGAACTGTCAATCCCAGCACCTCCTCGTGCCCCAAGTGGCCTCTAACCACAGGCCTGGCCCACCACACCTGGGTCTGGTCCATCATCCAACTTCCACGCTGATTTGTCATGCAAAGCCAGTCAGTCCTTCCCTGTGATTCACTATATGGACCTGGGAAGAAAGCAGGTTTCTGTCCTCATCTGCTGTAAAGAGGTTGGCTTTGGACTAGCAATGGCTATCTTTCCTGCCTCGTGGGGTGAGCTTGTCTAGTGTAGGAGAAAGTCAGCCAACTGCTCCAGGAGAAGCAAGTACAGCCCAGTCCTAGACAGAGAGAGAAAGAACAAATGAGCTGATGATTTTCGATGAGCTGATGTGGGCCCTTAGATCTAGCCATGCCTGAAGGGAGAGCCTTTGGCTTAACTTTTTGAGTTGCTAGAGCCTTAACTAAGCTGCTTGTGTCCTCCCAGGAGCCCAAGCCTATTTTCAGTTAAGGGAGGAGTTCATTATTTGATTGTTTCTGCTAAACAAGAAGCTAATCTTGCTGTAAATATGGATTTATATTTTGTAGCATCTGGCTCTGCTCTTGAGCTTCCCTGACACTTGATCATGGTCAATTGCTAGGAATTGTTTGTTTTCTGCGGGTTTTATTTTTGAGGAGTCTCGCTTTTGTCACCCAGGCTGGAGTAAAGTGATGCAATCTCAGCTCACTGCAATCTCCGACTCCTGGATTCAAGTGATTCTCTTGCCTCAGCGCCTCAACTAGCTGCGATTACAGGCATGCGCCACCACGCCCAGCTAATTTTTATATTTTTAGTAGAAATGGGGTTTCACCATGTTGGCCAGGCTAGTCTCAAACTCCTGACTTCAGGTGATTCGTCCACCTTGGCCTCCCAAATTGCTAAGATTATAGGCATGAGGCCAATTGCTAGGAATTTGAAGAGAAAGTCTAATGACAGACACAGGTAGTGGTACCAGGGTATGTGATTAGAAAATAAATGATCCGGCCGGGCGCGGTGGCTCAAGCCTGTAATCCCAGCACTTTGGGAGGCCGAGGCGGGTGGATCACGAGGTCAACAGATCGAGACCATCCTGGTCAACATGGTGAAACCTCGTCTCTACTAAAAATACAAAAAATTAGCTGGGCACGGTGGCATGTGCCTGTAATCCCAGCCACTCAGGAGGCTGAGGCAGGAGAATTGCCTGAACCCAGGGGGCGGAGGTTGTGGTGAGCCGAGATCGCGCCATTGCACTCCAGCCTGGGTAACGAGAGCGAAACTCCGTCTCAAAAAAAAAAAAAAAAAAAAAAAAAAGAAAATAAATGATCCTACCCTATTGTTAGTAGGATTGTGTATTAACTGTTGCTCTTCATAGATCAACATATTTAATGTGTAACAAATACTTATTATGCACCTTTATACTAAGCACCAACATTGCATACTGGAAAACAGGCCCTGTGCAAGGAGAAATGCAATACTAATAAACAGCATCATCCCTTACACTTTAGAGGATTTTTGCCTTTTGGTTAGAGACTTTCGTTTTCCTTATCTCTTTTGGTGTCTACAACAGCCCTGTGAGATGGGTTGGGTCTAGTCAGCAGATAGTTATTCTACAACTGATAGGTCCATTCTGCTAAGTGAGAATGTCCAAACATTAGGTACACAAAACAATATAGTCTGATTCTGGAAAAAAAAAAAAAAAGTAAAAATCAAGGCCCAGTGGCCAGTTATTCTCTTAGTCACTAATGCTCAATCATTTAAAAGCTGGGATTTGGAAGTCACATACATCTCCTAGAGTTTGCCCCTCAAAAGCCCCATCTCCACTGATCTTGTCTGTCAGTGAAGATGTTAATAACAGTGACCTCTGATAAATGGTAAAGCTCAAAGATTTAGAGACATCTGATGCTACTGACCTTTTTTTTTTTTTTAAAAAAAAGTCTCATTCTGTCATCCAGGCTGGAGTGCAGTGGCGCAATCTCGTCTCCCTGCAACTTCTGCCTCCTGGGTTCAAATGATTTTCCTGCCTTAGCCTCCTGAGTAGCTGGGACTACACGCATGTGACACCACACCTGGCTAAGTTTTGTATTTTTAGTAGAGATGGGGTTTCATCATGTTGGCCAGGCTTGTCTTGAACTCCTGGCCTCAGGTGATACGCTGGACTTGGCCTCCCAAAGTGCTGGGATTACAGGCTGAACCATGGCGCCCAACCTGCTACTGATCAGTAACTAGCTGAGAACGTCTCTTTCAAGGACTCCTTGCCTGGTGTTGCAGCCCAGTCTGGATGCCTGTGTCCTGGGTCCCAGCAGCTTCCTGCCGCTCTTGGAGCAGATGTGGCCCTTGGTGACCAACCTGCAGGTGGAGGCCCTCAGAGGGCCTCCCTCCCTCCCTCCACCCATCCCAGGAATAGTTTCTGTCCCTGGTTTGATGCCCGTGGCCAGGAATATTCTGACAGACAGTCATTGTCTAACATCAGAGGGTAGTCTGATTAATTGGTTACTGAGCAGGGTTTTCAGGGGAGAAGGCAAAACTTCTCAAGCTGCTGTCTCCATTGCACAGAATGTTGGGGTGGGGACAACAGAGGTCAGAAAATTCTTTCCAATCTCAGCTAATTTCCCTTCTTCATCTTGAGGAAGAAGAATCGAGTGGCCCGCATTGAAGCACTGATGAAGCACCTGCATTGTGCCAGAGACTTTATATAATCTCCTCGAAGGCTCCCAGGGCTCTGTAGGTAATGCTAACATCTTCCTTTTACAGCAGACGAATTTGAAGCCCAGGTTGTGTGACATGCCTACACAGCTGGTGGGGACCAAGTGTAGGGTCTAACCCAGGGTGTCTGTCTCCTCTGATTCCACCATAGCCACACCCTTCTCATTAGAATGGGAGGAATGTCCTTGAGAGGTCAGACAGGGGCCAGGTTCCCACCAGCCTCTGAAGGCTTCAGGACTCTAATGATAGAAGCTCTGCATTCCTCTCCTTGTCCGCCGAGTATGGAGCTGACAGGTGAAACTGGCATGGGTGCCGAGAAGGCTGGGCATCAGGCTTCTGAGAGCCGAACCCCAGCCTCAATAATATGCCTGGCATACACCTGAGGGCACCGGGGAATGCAGAGGAAGAGTCCTGCTGGGTTCTGTGCACAGGCCACCAGTCCCCGTCCCCTAAGGGAAGAGAGCGCAGAAACTTCCCAAGGCTCATAGGCCCCAGACTAGGGTGGACGGCTCCGCAGAGCCCGGTGGCCAGTTGCACTCTGTGGGAAAGCCTTGGCCCTGGCCCGGCCGGGAGCCACGCTGGTGCCGCCTCCTGCCCACGGCTTGGCTCAGCGGTTCCCAAGTGGCTTTACTTCCTCCCCTCGCTTGCCCCCACCTCCCACAGTCCCCAGGGGGACAGGGAGGCCATTGGCAGAGTTGACTCTCAGTCCCCGAGTCCCACAGGCCCCTGCACGCCCCCTCCCCACACACCTCAGAGCCAGGCTTCCCCAGAAAGAGCAGGAGGGGACTCTAGCCCTCCCCAGGGAGCTCCTACCCCAGGCCCGTTTAGGGCTGGCCGGCCCCCTCCCCACTCCTTCCGCTATCCACTAAGGCTCCACTCTGGGCTGCAATAACAGGGCTCTGGGTATGGGCTGTTGTTTTTGCAGCTGGGATGGGGCGGAGCAGCAGCGGGAAGGCGTCTCGCGCACCGACAGTCTGAGAAAGCCCTGAGCCCACATTCCCACTAGGGCCGGGGCAGCTCCGTCAGGCTAGTGATGGAGCTGTTGCTGGGGGCAGAGGCGCCTGGTGAGTGTCGAGGGCAGGCCGAGAAAGAGGCTAGCCTGTAGGGCCAAGAGAGTTAAGGGGAGCCTGGGAGCCCCAAGCCCTGTCTGAGCCGCCTCCTTCAGCAGACTGTGGCCTCCCTCCTTTGTAACTGCAGCTGGACCAAGCCTCTCCCCGCTCGCCCAGCCCCCGCACACATCTGGGAGACGCTGGAGAAAGCTTCCTTAAAACCAACAACAAACACAACAAAATATCTCATTTACTAGGGGGGAAATGGTAGGAACTAAAAAGAATAAAACGGAGGTCACTCCTAGGCCCCTCACTCAAAAATATTCATTATGAACATTTTGACATATTTCCCTATAAGTTATTTTTAAAATGGTGGTACAATCGACATAATATAAAATTTACTTTTTTTTTGAGAGGGAGTGCTGGAGTGCAGTGGCACGATTTCGGCTCACTGCAATCTCTGCCTCCTCCCAGGTTCAAGCAATTCTCCTGCCTCAGCTTCCTGAGTAGCTGGGATTACAGGCGCAAGCCACCGTGCCCAGCTAATTTTTTTTGTATTCTTAATAGAGGTGAGGTTTCACCATATTGGCCAGGCTGGTCTCAAACTCCTGACCTTGTGATCTGCCCACCTCAGCCTCCCAAAGTGCTACTTTGGGATTACAGGCATGAGCCACCACACCCAGCCCTAAAACTTACCATTTTAACCATCATTATGTGTACAGTGGCATTCATACATTCACACTGTTTTACCGTCAGCACGAGCCGTCAGCACCAGCCAGCTCTTCCCAAACTCTGTACCTGTGAAATACCAACTCCCCATTCCCACCTCCCCCCAGCCTCTGGCAACCTCCATTCTACTTTCTGTCTCTCTTTGGCAACTCTAGGCACCTCGAATAAGCGGAATTTGTCCTTTTCTCTTTGGCTTCTTTCACTGAGCATATCAGTTTCAAGGTGACACATGTTGGACCATGTGTCAGAATTTCCTTCCTTTTAAAGGCTGAGTAATATTCCGTTGTGTGTCACATTTTGTTGATCCATTCATAACCTGTTTTTCCAACATGATCAAGATTATACTTGTCAGGTGTTAAATATCCTGATTTTTTTTTACTCAGATGTTGCCATGTCATTAAAATTTTTTTCTAAACATGTTTTTTTTTTAAGACAGGATATCACTCTGTCATCCAAGCTGGGATGACTGTGGCAGAATCACAGCTTACTGCAACCTTGACCTCCCAGGTTCAGGTTCAGACCTCCCACCTTAGCCTCCCAGGTAGCTGAGACTACAGGCCCATGCCACCACACCCAGATTTTTTTTTTTTATTTTTTGTAGAGATGGGATTTTGCCACATTGCCCAGGCTGGTCTCAAACTCCTGGACTTAAGTGATCCACCCTCTTTAGCCTCCCGAAGTTCTAGGATTACAAGTGTGAGCCACCACATCAGGCCCTAAACATGATTTTTAGTGCTGCCCTTTCATTGCTTGTAGATGGAATAGCAGAATGTATTTCAGCAGTCTCCTATTCTTAAATACTGAGAAACTCTCCTTGCTTGGTTTATTTGTTTGTCATTATAAATGACCGAGAGAAAAACATCTTGGTAGAAATTTCTGGGGGATCCTCTGTGGTCCTGCCTGACTTCCAGCATCTCAGGTGATTTTCCAAGGGAGAATCCCAGGAGTGGAATTGCTCATCAAAGTGATAAACACTCCTCAGTCTCTTGATAACTATCCCCCAAAACTTTCGGGAAAATCATGTCCATTCGTCCTCCATGAGCAGCATAGGAAACCCAGAGCCTTTTCCTCTGTTCACCACACATTCAGCAAATTTCTGAGCACCATGGACCTGGCATTGAGGACCCGGGTGCTCAGAAAAACAGGCAGGGGTTCAGCGACCCAACCATCTCCTCCCAATGCCCCCTGCAGCTCCCTGTCTTAAATCCTTGATGACTTGGAGCTGAGTGGCTCAGGCAAGAGCCAGCCTGGGCAAGGAAGCAACTAATGGCGTGGGGGTACAGCATCTCTCTCCCAGGTGTGGCCTAAGGCTGGCCTAGGTCTACTCTGCAGATTCCTTAGTGGCTGCCCAGCCAGCCCCCTACAGAGGAGTAGCTAGGTAAATGACAGCTGTTGAGGGTTTTCTATAGGCCAGGCCCACTGCAGTTACCTTGATTGTCTCAATTTTGCTGACCAGGTGATCAGGTATTGTTTGGCACCATGTTTAAGTCACACAGCTGGTGTGTAGTACAGCTGGGGTTTATCATCAGGTCTCTCTAACTCCAGAGCTCATGCTCTAGGTGGTTCCCATGTCCTGCTGCTTCTCCCAGGGGCTCTTCCGGCATCCCAAGTCTGGGAGAAGAAAAGGAAGCACTGCAGGCCAGTGCCTTGCTGAGGTTTAGGCCAGAGACCTCTGGCCACAGGGAACGAGGAGCACTCCATGCCCCAGAGGGACCTGGCTAGGGCAGGAATAGGGCAACGAGGGCAGGGGCAGCAGGCTCCATGCTGCACACAGAAAGCCTAATTGTGTACAGATGGTGCTCTTTGGAAAAATAAGTATCATGAGGTTGTCTTGTTTTGGACAATCTGATGTCCCAGAGACCCAGTGCCAAAAAAAAAAAAAAACACAGCTGACACGGCTGAGGAAGTGGAGCCAGCATTGCTGAAGCCTCCAGGTGAAGCTGGCCCTTTAGGGGTGGGGAATAAGATCTCCTGCAGGCTCCCAAACTGGAACCTGGGGCTGACGGCTCCTAGGGGTTCAGGTCTTGGGCTGGGAAATTATTCCACATACAGATGGGAGCAGATTAGAGGAGCTCAGAACCCTGCCCCCGACCACAGCCTTGAGGGTCACATGCAGAGGGACCTCACCACATCCAGAAGCCTGGAGATCCACCTGAGCCCTAGGAGCAGGCACGGAGGCAGCCAGGTTGGGGGCTGGCCAGGCCTCGGGCTGTCAGAGCACCCTACAAGGCAGGGAAGGCTGCTCAGCATGAACCCAAGCCAGGAGGGAGATCTTTTTTCCAGAACAAGACTCCCTGTGGGGCGCAGGGCAGAAGTCAGTGGGCTCAAGAATCTGGGACGTGCCTGCCTGACTCGGCTCAGGTCAAGAGGGCAGCCCACTGGCCTGGCCTCACCAGCCAAAGCCAACACAGGAAATGCCAGCCAGACCTCAACATCCAGGCACCCAATTGGCTCTGTCTGCCAGGGAGCATCGGCCTTCCCGGGCTCAGTTGTTGGCAATGCTGGCCGTAGGGAACCATGGCGTTAGTGCTCGCTTAGGGGATTCGGGGTCCCTGGGCCTGTCCTCGTGGGCTCTAAGCCGCAGGACAGGAGGAGCTGGGCAAACACACAGGAGACCAGCAGGCAGCAGAAGGGAGCCAGGCGTTTCCCTGGACGGCAGCCACCAGGCTGTTGTTGGGATCCAGTTTCAGGCTCCTTCGAGGAGAGCTGCATGGGGTCATCCCCTCCGCGACGCCCCAGGAAGGAGACTGATGAGCAGACAGTTGTTAACGCCGCCGCCGCCACCGTGGTGATTAAGGCCGCAGTAATTGGCCTCGCAGCCAGGCAGGGGCAGCCAGGCAGGGGCTGAGCCTGACAGCCGGCAGCCGCCAGGGTCTGCAGAGCAGGGGAGGGGGCCGCCAGTGCTGTAGCTGTGTGCACTGATGGGATTAGGTTGTGAATTGACACTCAATCCTCCTTAGTGATTTCCTTCCTGGGGCCCCAGCCAGGGCCAGGACTGTGGGGATGGGAGTGGGTTGCCGGCAGAGAGCAGACATAAGCCTTTCCAGGCTCCTTTAAGCTGGCCACTAGCTGGGGTAGGGGTGCAGGGTCTTCATCTGGGACTGAGCTTGGCCAAAGCTTGCTCTGTAGTCCCTCCACAACTGCCCAGCCGGCCCCACATGGGGGATGAGCTTTTCCGGAAGGTACCCTCTTTCCCACATTCCCACTAGTACCTGGCACTAGTCATGCCTTGCAGGTAACCTCTGTACTCCCAACATGGAGCCTGGCACAGAATAGGTTTGCTAAGGACATTGGCGAACAGAATGGATCAATGTCGTCTTCCCTGATTGGCCTAAGTGCCTTGTGGGAGAATCTGTGTGACCCCCTCCAAGGTCTGGGTGCATTTTTCTACAATCTCAGGAGTGAAGAGCTCTCCAAAGACCACTAGGTCCCTGGCCCTGCCTCTCTGAGAGCATCCCTCCAGCCCTCTCTGCTGGGCAGCCGTGCCACACTCCTGAGTTCACCCCTGCATGTGCCCGTGTGCGTGAGCATGTGTGTGCTTCTGTCCGCCCAGGAGGGACACTGGATATTTCCTTCTCCATACATCTTCTGCGTCCTCTCGCTTTCCAGGGTCCCTCCCTTGGAGGTCCTGGGCAGGAAGGAGGAACGCTAGGTGTGTGGTGTGGAGGCCTCTGGGTCAGGACCTTTCCAGAGCTTGCCTTGTTTACACTTCAGGCCGAGGCCAGGCCACACTGGCCTCCTACCTGCTTGTCCCCTCGGGCTCTTCCCTGCAGGAGTGCCCCAGGCCCTCTGTGAGTAAGAGCTGGCTCTTGGCTGCTCTGGGCCATGGCTGGAATAAGGGGCTTCCCCCTCACTGCGGCATGTGCTGGAGGCCGGGGCGCTAGAGACTGCAGCAGCCATGGAGGCAGCGCAGGCACCCAGCTGTCAGCCTCAGTCGGCAGAGGCAGAGCCAGCCCCCACTGGTGGTGTCAGGCAAGAAATGCCCCCCAGGCCTGGGGACACGTGCATATCTCAGGCACGTTCAGGCTGAAATGCAACCCGTCCTGCCTTCTTGCCAGGTTTGCCTTGAAAACCCCTCCACTGCCAGTTGCCCAGCTCTGTCCAGCCCAGGCCTCCAGGGCCCCAGGCTCCACTGCCCGAGGAAAACCCGAGCCCTTCAGGGAGGAGAGGCACCGACTGCCACATTCCAAGCAGAACTCACTCCCTCCCTGGCCTGCCGCCACCACTTCCTTCTCATCCTCCAGCCTCTCTCCCCCATCCCAACCTCCTTCCCCAAGGGTTTTCTAGCCCTCTGCCAGTCACATCCACCCGCTCCAGAGAAGAGGCTGAAAGCTGTGGTAGAATGAGAACGAGGCCTGGCTGTGCAGCTCAGGGCAGCTGTGAAACCTCTCTGAGCTTCAGTTTCCTCATCTTTAAAATGGGAGTAGAGAATGTCCACACCGTAGTTACTGGCTTTGGAAGGATATCAACGATGTATTGCTGAGCTAAAACAGCAGGCATTGGAGATGCTCTGGAGGAAGCCAATCAATTGCGGTCAGAAGCTGCCCCCAGAGTCTGGTGTGGTGAGAGCAGGACAGAGGAGTAATGGGTGTGTGGTGGGGAGAGAAATCTCCTTTTTACTAATATACCTTGACTTTTGTTTCAGCAAGTATGTACCCCTTTTGTGATTTAAAAAAAATTTAAAGATTTTCTTTTCCAGAGCTGTTACCAGCTTTAAATGCTAATGTGTATTTGAATGACTGAAGGAGCCTGGGCATGTATGGCTGGGACAGGCTGCTCTCTTTCCCTGGAGCTGACTGAGGTCTCCTCACTTGTCTACCTGCTTCCCTGAAGGGGTTAAAGCAGCAGCACTTCTGGAACTGAGAGAAGGGAGCCCAAAAGCCCCAGTGAGGCCAGAGGTCCACCAGGCTACAGTGGGGTGGCATGGGGGGGGGCACCTCCACCCCGCCTGGGCCCTCCTTGTCTCCTGGCTGCTGAGGCCGCCCAGCAGGCCACTAGGGCCGCCCACTCTGCCCGGCTGGAGACCTGCTTCCAATTACCCATGAAATCTGAGCTGGAAGAGACCTATTAAAGCCCCATTTAGTTTGATCCCCCTGGGGGCCAGGGATCTTTTCCGGCGACATCCCCCTCCTTGTCCGACTGGGACTCCAAGCCCTTTGGATGTTATCTCCTCCTGGGTCAATATTGTGACAACTCCAGCTGTGACCCAGGCCACCCCGGAGCCAGAGCTGGTCTGGGCCTGGCCTGGCGAGGTGCAGGGGGTGGGGGTGGAAACCCAGCTCCTCCCCACCTTGGGGTTCCCGCTGCCCACTCCTCTCCTTCGTTTTCCTTTTCTTCAGCTGCAGCAGGACCATCCCACTTTCAGCCCGAGCCCAGCCTGGCCTGTACCCCACGTTCCAGGCTAGTTCGCAGGTCACCAAGTAGCTCCTGGTCCTACCTGGTCATCCCCTGGGAAGCTCTTACTGGTAGAGACTGTCTTTCCCATATTCCCAGTTGTGCCTGATACAGGGTTGCACGTTTCATAACACCCCGTTACATAAGAAATAATAAATAATGGTGATTAATGACCTCCTCCCTTCGTCCCTAGGCTCGCCTGGGTCAGACCTCCCAGGGAAGGCACAGGGGCTCCTGGAGGAGGAAGGGAGGGAGCAAGGAGTGCAGGGGGCACCTGCTGTCCCTCCACATCCTCCCCGAGCACCTCTGCACGTCCTCTCCATGGGCCACTCCCTAGAGAGCAAGAGGAAGCCACCAGGAAGGGTAAGCAGAGGCCCCAAAGCCCTCCAAAGAGGGAGGCCCCAGACAGAGGGAGGTCCCAGGGCTCCTGTGACCCTGCCCACAGGGCACACCCTCTCTGTGCAGTTGGCCTTGTCTCCTCGGGACCACCCCGGTGGAGGGATGGTGCCTACCGAGGCCCCTGGCTCCTGCCTCCCTCCCTGTGGCCGCACCCGATTTGGACCTCTAAGCACCTCTCCTGGGTGGGACGGGGCTGGGCCTTTGGGGGTGGTCCTCTGGGGGAATTTGTGGCTTCTTTCCCAAACTCTGGAGCAGCAGGGAGGGAGTGAGGAAGCCACTTTGGGGGCACGGCTGGGGCAGCCACTTGGAGGTGAGAGGAGGGCAGCAGGAAATGGAGGATAAGAAGGTTCTGGAGGAAGCAGAGAAGGGAAGGAGCTTGGGAGCAGTGCCCAGAAGCATGCCTGGCCAATCCTCTCCGCCAGACTCCCCTTCGGGTCCCCTCAGAGTTGCAGAGACCCCAAGACAGAGCCAGGACTGTGTGGGGAGGGAGAACTTCTAAAGGTCATTCCGGCCAATCTCCTGCCTCCGACCACCTCCACTCACCCCATGGGTGGAGATGAATCCTTTTGTCTGGATCTTTGTGGGCACAGATTTTGTGGCCTTTGCCACTGAAGAACTCTTTCCTTAAGTCTAGCTAAACCTTCCTTGCTACAGTTTAAACCTGTATTTCCTTATTCCGTCTAAAGTGGGTTCACACAAATGTATTTTCCTGCTGCATCAACCTGTTGCTTCGTTCAAACAAAGTTCACTCCCCAGAGGAAAGAGCACATTCCCTCTGGCATCTCCTGGGCAGTCTGGCCCCACCACCATCCCTCCACCAGGCACAAACTTGCAGGCCCAGAAAGGGAGCCTGTGGCCTGGGGACCAGGGCAGAGCCATTACCCTTTGCTGAGCTGTCCTGAGTCCTCCTCCTCCTGGGTACTACTTCAATGGGCGACAGGGTGTGCTGAGGGCTGGTGGCGGCCAAGGGCCAGGCCACCCTGGGGCCAGACCCCTGCCACTCACAGCTGCTCCTGCTGCAGCCCGGCAACCTCACAGGAATGCTTCATTTATCTCTGTCAAAAGGCAGGAGGTGGTGTGAAGCCTTCCTCACTTCCCTGGAGGTTGAGGGTGGGGAGGTGTGGAAGGCAGACTGGCCGTGGCCTTCCCCAGTACCCCTGTGCTGGGCAGAAGGAAGCTCACCAGTACACATACACCCACAAGCACAGAGAAATTCACCAGCAGGTACAAGCACACACCTGCAATGCACATCAATGTATGCACACATTCGGGTGTATATGCACAGGCTCACCTGCACAAAAACGTTCAAATGCACATGTGTGCACCCACTTTCACACATGCACAGGCATGTTCATTTCTCCACGTAGGTCCCATCTCCATGTACATGACTGCTTGTATCTTCACATGAACATCTGTTCATCCACACACAATGACACAGTCTATGAGTGTGCACACGGGGATATTAATGGAGGCTGTTAGTTACCGCTTCCTTCAAATTTGTGGAATGTATCTGGAAGCTGTTCAAAACGACAGTCTCCCTCTCTGAGCCTGCAAGTTTGTGCCTGGTGGTGGGGATGGTGGTGGGGGCGGTGGTGGGGTTGGTGGTGGTGGTGGTGGTGGGGGTGGCAGTGGAGGGGTGGTGGTGGGGATGGTGGTGGGGATGGTGGGGGGGTGGGGGTGGAGGGATGGTGGTGGGGATGCTGGTGGTGTGGGTGGTGGTGGAGGGATGGTGGTGGGGGCGGTGGTGGGGACCATGATGGGAGTGGTGGTGGGGTGGTGGGGGGGATGGTGCTGGTGGTGGGGGTGGTGGGGGTGGTGGTAGAGGGATGGTGGTGGGGGTGGTGGTGGTGGTGGTGGTGGTGGTGGAGGGATGGTGGTGGTGTGGGTGGTGGTGGAGGGGTGGTGGGGGCTTGGAGGTGGTTGTGGGGGTGAGGGGATGGTGGTGGGGACGGTGGTGAGGGTGGTGATGGGGGTGGTGGTGGAGGGATGGTGGTGGGGGGGGTGGGGTCGGGGTGGTGGTGGGATGGTGGTGGTGGGGTTGGGGATGGTTGTAGGCCAGAGTGCCCAGGAGATGCCAGATGGAATGGTGCTCTTTCCTCTGGAGGGTGAACTTTGGAGGAGCGAAGCACCAGGTTAACAGGTTAATGCTGCAGGAGGATCCATTTGTGTGAACCCACTTTATATCAAACAAGATGCCCCGTAGAGAGCAGGGGCAAGGGGAAGGAAAGGAAGAACACTGGGCCCCTAAGGGAAGTCTCTCCTATGCCCTTTGGGAGCCATTGGCCTCTCAGGATGTCAAGAGATGCCAGGCCTTGCAGAGTGGAGAGAGTTCCAAGAGGTGAGCATGGTGGTAGTACATTCCAGGACAAGGGGTGGCCTGAGCAGGGCTTGGAGGGGGGAAGGTTCAGGCCAAGTTTGGCAAGAGGCTAGGAGACCACTTTATTGGAGCAGAGGGTTCTCTGGCTCAGCCTAGGGGATGATGAAGCCAAAGAGTGCAAAAGGGCTTTTTGCAATGGAGCCCGGGGAACATTTCTGAGCAGGAGACTGGAAGGATCTGAGTGGCTCTTTGGGAAGCTTCATTCACTCAGTACCTCCTACATGCTTTGTGCTAAGGGAGCACAGAGGGGAGATGAAGGATCCTGCCTGGAGCAGGTGGGAAGGGCAGGAACAGCTCCCCATTTGACATGGGCCTCAAAGGATGGATCAGAGTCATCCAGACAAGGAAGGATGGGAAGGATGACCAAAGCTGGCAATGGAACCTGGCAGCTGTGTGTATGTGTGCTGGGAAGGACGGCTGGGCTGTTCATTCATGTGTACCCCGCAGAGCCAAGCACAGGTTGTCCTGAGGAGCTGAACACAGTGTCTGTACCAGAACCAAGGAATCCAGGCAGCTATGACAGTCCCCCAGGACATGCAAAAAGAAGCAAGTGAACACTGCCTGATGCTACCCTGGGCCAGGCTGACTGACCCCAGGGAGAAGAGGAGCTGAGTGACAGCCATCAGGGAGGGTGCAAGACAGGTGCCAGGGCCAGCTGGCTGGCCCACCAGGGACACCCACTCAGGTCTCAGGGGCAACAGCCATTTATTTCCCCACCCAGATAGAGAACATATTGGAGGTATGAGGAGCTACCTGGCTCTGATGCTTTGACACCTCCTGTCTGTGGGAAACCCACACCAAAGACATTCTCGCCAGCCCACCCACCCTACCCCCACCATCCTGCTGTGGTCGAATGGCCAAGGGCCCAGTCCTCCGGCTGCAGCCCCATTACGGCCCCCTCTAGCCTCTATCTCTTCAGAGCGGGAAACACCACATCCCAGCTGTCTGTCCCAAATCCACCTGGAGGCTGGCCAGCTTGGCTGAAGCCCAGCTTAGTTAGGCCAGACCCAGGAGACACTGCCGGGAACAGGCAAGGACTGGAAGGAAGCGGCCGGGCCAGACACGGACCCCTCTCTGGGGCTTACCCAATAGGGTTCCTCCTGGCACACCCATGGGCTTGCCCATTGCCACACGCTTCTGAGCCCCTGGTCCCTTGGGCTGTGGGCTCTAGGCCTCTCCCTGCAGCCCTGAAGAGATACAGGTTGCCATGACAACCGCACTCCACCCTGATGGCGAAAGGCTTGGGGAGGCCTGGCCTTGGGCCCCACTTGGGACACAAGGGAATCTGGTTGGGAACCCGGAGTTCCGTTTTGCAGACTTGAAAGCTTGACAGCAGGCTTACACAGAGACCCTCACCCTGAGAACAACTCCCTCCTTCCTCCTCGGCCTCCCACCTCCTGCAGCTAACAGCTTTCATCAGCACCAGCAGCTGCTACAGGCTCAGGGGCAGCCTGGGGCCACCGCCACCACAGTGGGAGGTGGAAGGAGGCCAGGCGCATGGGGCTGAGGGCCGCTCCACCCTCCCTGTTCTGGGCAGCAGGCACTGCTCATCCTCCAGACCCCAGTCCCACGGGCCTCCAGCTCCTGAACAGGCTTCTCTCTCCCTTCTCCTTGGCTTTATCCTTTACCCACACCGCTCCCAACTGGGAGACACTTTTCTGTTTATGATGGCAACTAGGGGCCACAATTAGAGGCACTTCCAGAAATGTTTGCCATGTTCCATGCAAATTCCCTCTTTGCCCCTTTTGCCTACTAAAAAGAAGAGCCAGAGAAACCCAGGGTCAGGGGTCAAAGAGCAGGACAGGGACAACCAGAGGAGGAGCGAGACAACCACCTGAGAGATAGTCCCCAAAGGCCACCTGGTCAGAGGGCAGGAGACACAGGAGAGGACTGGAGACAGAGGCCCAGGGTTGGGCGACACACAGTGGGGGCAAACCTGGAAACAGGTGGCCAGCACCAAGACAATCTAATGAGGGCAGCGAGCTGGCCCCTTCCCCTTCCTCACTCCCTCTCTAGGCCAGGCCTGGGGCTCTCAAAGGTCACCTGCTCGTGTAGGAGGCAGTTAAGAGTGTGAGCTTTGGGGCCAGACACTGAGGTCTGCCCCTGATAGACTGTGCACTGCCCCCTCCCTATGCCTGGCTTTCATCATCTGGAAAGGGGGCTCCTATTGCACCCACTCTTCTGGTGAGGCTTCAATAACTGAACACATATGAAGTGTGCAGCGGAGCTCCTGGCACCTGGAAGCAATTCTAGGTTAAGCTATTATGACACCTGTTTTTGAGCCATGATTTCCTTGTTAGTGAAAGGGAGATTAATAATACTAGTAGTCCCCGGGACTGTGGGGACTGGGTGGAGTGAGCCCCTCAGGGTGGTGCATTCAAAAGATGTCAGTGCAGATCCCACCCTAAGCCCGCCTGGCCCCCTGGGCTCTGGGACGGGTGTCAGGCCCAGTCAGGCAACAGGTGGCAGGGCCAGCAGGGCACAGGTACAGCCTTGCTGGGGATGTGGGGGTCGGGGGGGCAGTCCCTCCTGTTTCCTTTCCCCAGCTGCTGGCTGTGCCTGGGAGGAAGGCTGGGTGGAGGGAAGCAGCAGGCCCAGCCACGTGCAGCCCTGGGCTGAGTAAGCGCCCCACTTCCTGCCGCCACTGTCAGCAGCTTCAGCCACCATGGCCAGCGGGAGTCTCACAATGCTTACTGTGGTAGGAGCTCGGGGACTGGGCAGGGTCACTTCCCAGAATTGTCCTTGCCGCTGGCTCCCCCCAGCACACCTGGCCACTCGCCTACTGGCCTGGGGAACCATGGGGTGCCTGGCCTGGCCTGCAGGCACCATCTTGGGCGACAGCCGGCACCAAGGCCTCACCAGGCCAGGAGGTGAGACCTTGGCTGGGGCACTTGCTCTGGGGTCTAGACACAGAACAAGGCTGGGACCGCAAGAGAGCCACCAGGCTGGGTATGAGTTTTGGCCCAAGCTTGCTGTGCCCTCAGCCAGGCAGCAACATGAGTGACCACTATGTGCAGGACTCTGCATCAGGGCTGGGCTCGGGCCACAGTCCCTGCAGCCCTCCCTGGCAACATCTCCCGAGATTTTGGTGGGCTTCGGGCATCAAAGACCCCAGCAGGCACACAGCCAGGAGAAATGCAAATGGCCAACACTCATGCAGAGAATCGTTCAACTGGACCAGCCAATAACGGAGGAAATATGTCCAGAGCCAAACCGGAGGCAGGACTTTCATGGAACTCGTGGGCAAAGACGTCAAAGAATGACAGAACCAGGGACTATCTTGTCACTCTTGGGACTGCACACTAGACTGATCTTTTTGTAGGGCAAGTTGACAGTAAGTATCGAAAGCCTTTGACCCAGAAATTCTACTTCTAGGAATTGAAAGGACGTGAACAGCAACTACACATAGAGATGCTCGTCACAGCACTGTTAATAATGGAGAAAACACTAGGTATATCCTAAATGCCCGATTATGAGTAACTTTGAAAACAAAAATTTTAGCCAGGCACAGTGGCTCATGTCTGTAATCCCAGCACTTTGGGAGGCCAAGGCAAGCGGATCATTTGAGGTCAGGAGTTCGAGACCAGCCTGGCCAACGTGGTGAAACCCCGTCTCTACTAAAAATGCAAAAATTAGCCATGCGTGATGGTGGGTTCCTGTAATCCCAGCTACTTGAGAAGTAGAGGCAGGAGAATTGCTTGAACCTGGGAGGCAGAGGTTGCAGTAAGCCACTGCACTCCAGTCTGGGGTACAGAGTGCGACTCCATCTTAAAAAAAAGAAAGAAAAGAAAAATTCAGCCACGCAGTTGTAAGTATTCCCTGGGTAAGTGGAAAGTATTTATCAATATGTAAGTATTAAGAATGATGCCGAACAGCGCACTCTCAAACTTCAATGTGCACAGGAAGTCCCTGGGGATCTTGTTAAGCTGCAGATTCTGATTCAACAGGTCTGTGATGAGAGCTGAAGTTCTGCATTTCAACGAGCTTCCAGGTGATGCCAATGCTGCTGGTTCCCGGAACACAGTTTGAGCCTCGATGCTGTAGAATTTTCACCACTGATAGGAAAAGGCGTTCCCAAAATATAATAAAATGAAGAAAAGCATGCTGTAAAACAGCACGATGTCATTTTATTTGTTTTTTTATTTTTTGAGACAGAGTCTCACTCTGTCACTCAGGCTAAAGTGCAGCGGTGTGATCAGAGCTCACTGCACCCTCAAACTCCTGGGCTTAAGTGATCTTCCTACCTCAGCCTCCCAAGTAGCTGGGACTACAGCCATGTACCACCATGCCCAGCTAAGTTTTTAAATTTTTTGTAGAGATGGGAGTCTCACTATGTTGCCCAGACTGGTCTTAAACTAGCCTCAAGCAATCCTCCCACTTGACTTCCTAAAGTGCTGGGATTACAGGTATGAGCAACCACACCTGCCATGATACCATTTTTATAAGGAAAACAATATATACATGCATAGAAAATATCCAGAAGGATATAACAAAATATTGATAAGGGCTTTCTCTGAGTGATAAGATTGGATAATTTTTGTTTTATTATTTATGCTAATTTGTATTTCATACATTGATTATATATTAATTATTTAATTAAGACAAAGTATGTTTTGACTTCGAGGTCATACTCCTGAATGTAAAGGGTAGTTCTCGCTTGAAGGGGAAGCATTGCTGGACCAATTTTGAAAAGTGTGTCACTTGGTGCAGGAGCCAGCGCTGAGCTGGGAAGGCCTGGCTGGGCAGAGGTCTGGGAACAGGGTTCTCTTGACCTGGACCATGCAGCTTCGAATATAAGAGGAATTCCCAGGTGGTGGAAGGTAAGATGAGTTGTCTATGTGGAGGCTGGCACAGGATGGAAACTGAGGCCCCAGCCTTTGACTCAGAAGGGCAGCTGTCTCAGGCTCCAGATGCTGACCCATTCTCAAACCTTTGGCATTTGTTTCTCCTCTGATCTTCCTTCCCCTGAGTATCCAACTGAGACCAATGAGGTGGTAGCAGCAGTAGTCAGAAAGAGAGAGACCCACCCCCCAACACCCCTGCCTCCGGGAAGGCAAATCTGGTTTTGAGGGCAGAGATCAGATTTCCAGGATGGCTCCTGCAGAAGTTCTTTCTCTAGGACCAACCTCTGAAAGTCCAGATTTTGCTTCAGTGGGGGACAGGTTCCTCTTACAAAGTGGATACTACATGCTCCTACTTGAGGATGATGTGATTCCAGAGAGGGGCATCAAGCATTTGCTCAGGATTTTGTGAGGTAACCTGCTGGATGACCTTGGGTGGTCCCTGAAAAATCTCACCAGCTGAGGTTTCTCAGCCATAACAGAAACTACTATTTTATAGTAGTAGGGCTGTGGGCTTCAGATGGCCGTTTTGTTTGGTTGGTTGGGTTTTTTTTTTTGAGACAGGGTCTCCCTCTGTCACCCAGGCTGTAGGGTAATGGTGTGATCTCGGCTCACTGCAACCTCCGCCTCCTAGGCTCAAGCTGTCCTCTCACTGAGCCTCCTGAGTAGCTGGGACCACAGGCATGTGCCACCATACGGCTAATTTTTTGTATTTTTGGTAGAGATGGGGGTCTCCCTATGTTGCCCAGGTTGATCTGAAACTTGACCTCAAGGGATCCACCTGCTTCAGCCTCCCAAAGTGCTGGGATTACAGGTGGAAGCCTCCATGCCTGGCCTCAATATATTTTTTTTTAATTTCTGTATTTGGCCAGGCGCAGTGGCTCATGCCTGTAATCCCAGCACTTTGGGAGGCCAAGACGGGTGGATCACTTGAGGTCAAGAGTTCGAGACCAACCTGGCCAACTTGGCGAAACCCCGTCTCTACTAAAAAGACAAAAATTAGCTTGGCGTGGTGACACACATCTGTAGTCCCAGCTACTTGGGAGGCTGATGTGGGAGAATCACTTGAACCCAGGAGGTAGAGGTTGCAGTGAGCCAGGACCGCATCACGGCACTCTAGCCTGGGTGATAGAGTGAGACCCTGTCTAAAAAAAAAAAAAGAGCCAGGTGTGGTGGCTCACACCTATAATCCCAGCACTTTGGGAGGCCGAGGTTGGGGGATCACTTGAGGTTAGGAGTTTGAGATCAGCCCAACATGGCGAAACCCAGTCTCTACCTAAAATATAAAAATTAGCTGGGCATGGTGGCACGTGCCTGTAATCCCAACTACTCTGGAGGCTGAGGCACTAGAATAGCTTAAACCTGGGAGGTGGAGGCTGCAGTGAGCCAAGATTGCACCATTGCACTCCAGCCTGGGCTACAAGACTTCTTTTGGCAGAAAGACTCTGCCAAAAAAAAAAAAAAAATCTCGGAAATCTCTGCGTGTTGTAAAAGGATGTGCCAAGGCTGAAAAGTCTCCCTATTCTTCTTGTTCGTTTTCAGAGAGAAGACGGCAGGAACCTTCCATATTGCCCTCAGTGGCTTGCCAGCTGAGGTTCTGCTTGCCTAGATGTCACCCCTAACCTGACCATGGGCTTAAAATGTTTATTTTTCTATGTCACTGGTTCATCTCAAGCATGAACATATGAGATGTTTTGGGGGCGTGTTGAAGATGAATTTAGCTGGACTCAAACACAGCCTTTAATAACATTGAATCATGGAGTGAGAAAACTGTCCCATTTCCAGTTCTCTTTCCAACCTTCTAATGAGTCAAAAGAAAGCCTCAGTTAGGAGGTAATATGTCTCTAACACCTCACTAACACTTGCTAGTTTTCCTTTTAAACAAAAAGAAATTGGGCCTCAGGTTTAGATTCTCTGCCAGCAAATTCAGCTATAATTTAATTGATTTTTATAGTTACCTTTCTATTTAAGGTAGTGATACAAAGTTTCCTTTAAAAATAGTTTTAAGAAAAAAGGGCTAATTAGCGTAACAAATACAGTAGTCCCGCTTATCCAGCTTTACCTTCTATGGTTTCCTTACCTGTGGTACAGTACAGTTAGATGTTTTGAAAGAGAAATAGAGAAAGCGAGATGGACCACATTTACATAACTTTCTTTATAATGTATTGTTATCCTTGTTCTTTTTTTTCTTTTCTTTTTTTGAGACAGAATCTCTCTCTGTTGCCCCAGCTGGAGGGTGATGGCACAATTTTGGCTCACTGCAAACTCCACCTCCCGGGTTCAAGCAATTATCCTGCCTCAGACTCTCAAGTACCTGGGATTACAGGCATGCACCACCATGCCCAGATAATTTTTGTATTTTTGTATTTTTAGAAATGGGGTTTTACCATGTTGGCCAGGCTGGTCTCGAACTCCTGACCTCAGGTGATCTACCCACCTTGGCCTTCCAAAGTGCTGGGATTACAGGCTTGAGCCACCTCTCGTGGCCTTTTCTTCTTTTCTTTTCTTTTTTTTAATAGAGACAGGGTATTACTATGTTCCCCAGGCTGGTCTCAAACTCCTGGTCTCAAGGAATCCTCCCACTTTAGTCTCTCAAAGTGCTGAGATTACAGGCATGAGCCACTGAGCCTGGTCTGTTCTATTTTATTATTACTTATTGTTGTTAATCTCTTATCATGCCTCATTTATAAATTAAACTTTATCATAGGTATGTAGGTATAGAGAAAAACAGACTATTTAGGTTTAGGTACTATCCATGGTTTCAGGCATCCACAGGGGGTCTTGGAACATATCCCTGATAAATAAGGGGAACTACTGTAAATACGTAATACTACAGATAGAGATATGGTTTAGCTGTGTCCCCACCCAAATTTCATCTTGTAATGTAGCTCCTATAATTCCCATACGTCATGGGAGTGTCCCAATGGAAGGTAATTGAATCATGAGGGGTGGGTCTTTCCCATGCTGTTCTCATAATAGTAAGTCTCACAAGACCTGATGGTTTATAAAGGGAAGTTCCCCGGCACAAGCTCTCTCTTGCCTGCCGCCATGTAAAATGTCCCTTTGGTCTTCATCTTCTGCTATGATTGTGAGGCTTCCCCAGCCATGTGGAACTGTGAGTCCATTAAACTTCTTTCCTTAATAAATTACCCAGTCTCTAGTATGTCTTTATTAGCAGCGTGAGAATGGACTAATACAGATGGTATTTAGATATGGCAAGCATCATGAATGTGGCACATGGTTATTGGTAATTTTGGTCTCTGGTGAGATGCAGACATCCCTAGAAGGCGTAATACCTCCAATAGACTCTTCTGAGACTCCCGCCAATTGCTGCTTTACTATCTCTGTGTGATTCCTTAACTTTTCTTCCTTTTATTGCTGAATTTTTAGCTCCTCAAAGGCTGAGAGTATGTCTTAGGCCTTAGAATCTCTGCCAGTGCCCAGGGCCTAGAACAAGGCAGGTGTCATTCAAAAAGTGCTAAGTGGCTGAGCAAGGTGGCTCACACTTGTAGTCCCACAACTTTGGGAAGCTGAGTCAGGAAGATTGCTTGAGCTCAGGAGCTCAAGACCAGCCTAGGCAGCATGGTGAGACTTCATCTCTACAAATAAAAGAATTAGCCAAGCATGGTGGTGCACCCTGTGGTCTCAGCTACTTGAGAGGCTGAGGCAGGAGGATCCCTTGAGCCCAGGAGTTTGAGGCTGCAGTGAGCCGAGATCGTGCCACTGCACTCTAGCCTGGGTGACCGAGCAAGACTCTGTCTCAAACAAACAAACAAAAAAACAAAAGAAAACAAACAACAGTGTTAAGGGACCTGAGGTCAGAGGCCAGACTCCGTGCAGCATAAGGAACCAGGAGACTGAGTTCTGGTTCTGACCCCTAATCTTGCTAGCTGTGTGGGTCTGGACAAGTTCTTCAGTTTCTCTGAGGCTCTATCTCCTCATTCATCTGCCTCACATCAGTGTTTCCAGCACAAAGTATATGAAAGGAGTTTGAAATCATACATCCCCATAAGGGATTATTAATACTATCGTTGGTTGAATCACAAATCTATTGTCACTGAAAACGTTTCCAGTGCAGACAACCAGAAGTAAAAATGAGAAAAAGAGGGAGGTGCTGAGAGGGAATGAGAAGCAAAAGGCCTGGAAACGGGGGGCTGGGCCCTTTCAATCTGATCTGGGTGTGGGACCACCTGCAAATTGCCTGATATGGTTCGGCTGTGTCCCCACCCAAATCTCATGTTGAACTGTAGCTCCCATAATCTCCATGTGTCATGGGAGGGACCCAGGGAGAGGTAACTGGATCATGGGGGTGGGTTTTCCCATGCTGTTCTCAGGATAGTAAGTCTCACGAGATCTGATGGCATTTCTCCTGCACACGCTCTCTTGCCTGTCACCATGTAAGACATGCCTTTGCTCCTCCTTCACCCTTTGCCACGATTGTGAGGCCTTCCCCGCCATGTGGAACTCTGAGTCCATTAAACCTCTTTTTCTTTCTAAATTACCCAGGCTCAGGTATTTCTTCATAGCGGTGTGAAAATGGACTAATATGCTACTCTCTGTGACCTCAGCATAGGCCTTCCCCAACACTGGGACCCCAGCAGTGCCTTGTACAAAAAGTATGGTCTTGCATCATGCAACTAGTGTTCAAGTTCCAGCTCAGCCACCTACTGACTGGGTGACCTGATGTACGTTACCCAACCTCTCTGTCCTCATGATTCTCATCACTAAAGTGGGACCAGTGCCAACCTCTCAAGCCTGTTGTGAGAAACGAATGAGCTCACACATGTATACATGAGCCCTGACACGTAGTAAGTTCTTGGTGAATATAGGTTCCAGGGGATTCTGCAGGCTCCTGGAAGAAAGATACGGAAATGATTCAGGTGCATGATGTCATCTGGAGCACTGAATTCATCATCTGGGAGAACTAGACTCCCCAGAGCTTTCCTGACCTGAAGCTAGAGCTGGAAAATAAGAGAGTAAAATCACAGATGTCAGTTTCCAACTCCTCCTCTATTCTCACCCCACACCCTCCCACTGCCTCCTTCTTACACCCAAAGTAGGGGCTAATCCTGCTCCTTAGGACCTCTTGGGCTATAGACTCAAGGTCTTGCTCTTCCAGATGAGGGAAGCTGGAGGCAGAGGAGGATCTTTGGAGAAGCAGCCAAGTGTTCTTTGACTCATAGAGAGCCCAGGGCCTGAGGGGACAGCTGGAGGTCCACCGTCTGTCTGCTGAAAACTCTGCTAGACTTTCTGTCTCCTCCACCCCTGGGGATCCAACCATAAGAGGAACTAATCTGGCTCCCCTCTGCACCCCTTGCCCCCAACACGGTTTCCTTCCTGTACTCCCTGGGAGATGAGAGCTAGAAGGGAGGGATGTGTCTGGGGAGGCTGGTCTAGCTCAGCTGGACCACAACATCTGTATCCTTAGCTGGGGCCTCCTTGTTCCTGCTTCAAACTGGGAGGGAACGGGAGAGCCCTGGTTCTTCCCAGGAAACTGATGTGACTCACTTCCCAGGATGAGCCATGGGAGAATGCAGTCTTTTCTCTATGACACTCACATAGAACCATGGGACTAATTTTCTCACCTTTAGAAGGCAAAAATGGGAAATAGCACATTTTAATAGAAAACTCCAAAATAATAGTGGTTTAACAAGATAGAAGTTTATTTCTCCAACACATAAAAATAATTCTGGATGTAAGCAGGTCAGGGCTGGTATGGCAGTTCCATACAGTTTTCAAGGTACCAATTTCCTTCCAACTCATTCTCATGGCCCAGGATGACTGCAAGAGCTCCTACCACCAGGTTTGAGTTCCAGGCAATGTCTGGCAGACAGGAAAGCAGTAAGACATTCTCCTTCCTTTAAGGATACTTCCCAAAGGTCAAGTCTAACACTTTCACTTACACCCAGACCCTAAGAAGTTCTAAGGGGTCAGGGATTGGCCAAAAGGTAGTTCCAAGCCACAGCCAGCTCCAAAGAAGGCTGAGAAACAAATTATTTTATCGTGATGACACTTGGTCCCATGCCTCTCCTTTCACAATCACTGTCCTGATTCAGGCCACTCAGCTCTGCAGTAACCACAGATCTTGTTTTCCTGCCTCTGGGACAAACCCTTCACCTGTCCTCAGGTGTTGTTTCTCCAAAACACACATCTGGCTATATCATTCCCCTGCTCAAGAACCTTCGATGACTCCCTGGTGCCCTTGGGATAAACTGTGACTTCTCAGTGTGGTCGTCAAAGCTCTTTACAACCTGACCTCAGCCAGCCTCATCTCCAGGCATAGCCCCTCCCCTCCCCTGCACATAGTCTAGCCCCATCAGATTCCTAGATGTTCCTCAAATAACCCATACCGTGTCCAGCTTCACTCCCTGTACAATGCCCTGCCTTTCTATTCCTGACAAGCTTCAATCCGTCCTGTAAGATGCTGCACAAGCATTACATTCTCCAGGTGACAGCTTTCCTGACCCCTTGTCTGCTCCCTCGGTGGGCCCCCTCAGAAGTCTCCCGAACACTCTGCCTTCCACACGCCTGAATGTGCTCAAGAGGACAGGCCACCCGGAGCCTGCAGACCTGCTCAGCTGCCTGCAACCACGAGTCTGCGTCAGAGCCCCGGGAAGTTCTTTTTTGCACAGACTTGGTATTAAGCCAATGTTAAGCTGTTTTCTCTGGACTGGAAGCTGCTTGAGAGCCATCACTCTCTTGATGTCCCCAGCACTGAGCCAGAGCTAGCACCGTGCAGGGATGAATGCCAGAAGGACTCATAGGACACTCAGCTCCTTGTCTCCTTCCTCCTTAGCTCAGGCCACCCCTGCCAGGAGCCTTCGCTCCTTGTCAGGGATGAACTCAGAGCCTGCCATGCAGATGTTCTGGTCCTGCAGAGTCAACCACCCTGCTGCCCCCACCTCTGAAGCACAGAGGACAACTGACCAGGCTGTAGCGCTCCAAGGGATGACAGTAAAATGGAACAGATCCCAGCTCTCCCAGGGTTCTCACCCAGATCCATGCTGCTCCAATTAGGAGTTTAGTCCATAGACTCCTCTGACCTCCTACTCCCTAGTAGAGACGGCGTCACTCCTGACAAGTACAGAAGCCCCTTGCCATCCCCCAGGATCCCCGGATCAGGATGAGCAGTGGGTCTCCTGCCAAGCAGAGACTCCAGACCTTCACCCCACTGCCAGTTCTGGGATGCCGAGCCACAGCCTTCGGGGCCAGATTGGCTACCTCCCGACTCTGCAGCCTTTGGACACAGTGTGCGGAGGATGAGGGGCCGCTTCCTCAGCCTCTGAGACATAGGGAGCCCAAGTCCCTCCCCTACTTACTCAGGGAAGTCCTTCAGTTACCACCCAGAAAGCAGGCATTGCTGGGTTTTCCCCACTTTGGCGGAGTCCCCTGCAGAAGACTTTAGTCACACTCTCACCTTGAAGACATGTTGTGGCATTAAAACCGCCTTCTCCAAGAAGCCCCAGGCCCTGGTCCTGGGGCCCATCTCCTCTACCTTTTCACAGAATCTTCTAGCAGGGCTTGATGCCTTCCCTAAGGGAAGGGATGGTCAGGATTCCCAGGCCAGGGAAATCCAATATAGACTTTGATCCCCCACCTCTATACACACACAGCCTGGAGCATTGTCTTCCCCACTGCTCATACTCCCTTAGCACTTTGCACCTTGACCATGTTCATCAGAGGCTGATTCATAATTATCTGTGGTTGTCTAGGAACTGGGACCACCTCTGTCTGCTGATGCACCTGGCACAGAGAACAGCTCCCATGGACGTGGGTGCCCTCTTCTCTCTCTTCTTATCCCCAGATCCTTCTCTATGGAGAAGCGGGTCTTCGATGTTGACTTCTCCCCTTGGAGAACCGAGAAATAACCCAGAGACTCTCCTGTTCTGGGACGGCTTCCCTGATGGGTGACCAGGGTGAGGTATGCTAGAAGCTTGGAGGAAATGGATTTTCTCCCGGAAGTAATCAAGATCACTGAAGTTATTAAGCATTACAGTGTACCGTGCTGCATGATCAGCTTCCACTGCTTTAAGGCACACAGCTTGCCTCTGAGATGGGTTAGGAAGCTGCAAAGACTTGCCCAGGGTCACACAGCGGTAAGAAGCAGGCTCTTAATCCCTCCCCGACACTGTCTCCTGAG